TAGAATAAAAATCCTCCTCTGTACAATGTATTTGCTCCCGTACCTGTGCACAGGAGATGTGTCAGCACAGTCATCGTTTCAGACAAAAATTAGCCTCTTTAAGGTAATGTTTACACTAGGTGCACTGATATACTACATCAGCAGTGCACTCCTGGAGTGGTCAGAGTTGTAATAGCAGAACAGGGTTTTATGCTGATACAGTAAAAATTAATCCACGTCTTGTACAGAAGTTACGCCGGTATGAGTACACGCTTGTTGTCAGGACGGGGTCTGCTCTGGGGACTTACACACAGTGCTATAAACATCAGTCAGCTCCTACTGACATTTTGATTACTGAAGAATTCAATAGTGGCAGAAGTTCCTGAAGGAGATGCAGGACAAACCTCAAAGGAGGGTGGAGAGAGGTGGGGGTGGGTCTGTTCAACCAAGGACCAAGGGACAGGACAAGAGGAAATGGGCTCCAGTTGTGCCCAGGGCAGTTGAGATGGGATGTGAGGAAGAATTTCTTTGCTGAAAGGGTTCTGAGGCATTGGAAGGGGTTGCCCAGGGCAGTGGTGGAGTCCCCATCCCTGGAGGGATTGAAGAGTCGTGTAGACATAGTGCTGAGGGACATGGGTTAGTCGGGGACTGGTCAGTGTTGGGTTCATGGTTGGACTCGATGAGCTTAAAGGGCTTTTCCAATCGAGGCCATTCCAGGATTAAAAAATGTCACTCCTCAAACATTAAGGCTTTTTAATGCACTTTCTCTCAAGCTGCATTTGGAAAGAATGACTTAAAACATATAGTTTACATTAGTTATAAATAATATATAACCACATATGGACTTTTTAAGTGTTTGCTGCCCTTTTAATAAACATACATGACATTAAATGGGAAAACCTGCGTACAGCCCTTCTGTTTCCCCCAATAACATAACTATTACTTGTAGGACAGTAATTTTGAAAATGACTGAGACTGAAGCTAGGATAAAAAATATTAAATTAATAAAACAAATTAAAAATATCTCTGTACCGAGGGGCCAAAAAGGCCAGTTCCTTCAGGCAATCTCACATAGTTGTGAAATGACAAAGATATTGTAGAAATTATTTTTCCAATCTTCTTTTTTTTTTTTTTTTTCTGAGTATTTTATTAACCACTCCGTTACTTTGTCTGCAAATAAACTTACTGGCTTGTAATTAGCTACAGCTGTGAGTCCCCGTATACTTTAAAATATTAACTTTTCTGATAAATTCTCTAATTTTCTAATT